AATGTACGTTGATATCACTCTGAGAATCGTTCTTCTGCTGCCGCTCAATTTCGAATGYACTGGTGTCACTCAGAATTGTTATTTATAAGGTTAGTACTACTAATTCGTTTTCTTTCTAAACTCCTAGTAGAATTAGGATTATGTAGTGATCGAAAAGAAATAGAAATCGTTMGAGTTAGAGTCCCATCCTAACTGAAATATTAAATTTTCTCAGTTTCTATTTTTAGATTTTAGAAAGTTAGACAGATGGAAAGTAARAAGAGGAGCACTGAAGATGGAAAGGAAGAAGGAAAGTTAATTCTCAGCCGCGTTCCACTTACGAAGATGGATTGTGCAAGAAGTCAAGAAACGGGTATAATATTAGTAACTTCCATTTCTTCTAATTTTAGTAACYTTCATGTCTCCGCTGCAACCAGCATTAGTCCTTACCAACTAGTCTCCCATCTAAAATTGTCTTTTGGTGAATATCTTCAGTTCTTAAGACTGTGTTTGTTTGTAATGCAAATAAATTTGCACTGGTGCAAAACTATGACAGTGCAAATTATTTGAGTATAAATTCTGACATATTTTTGTTTTAAATTTTAGCTTATTTTGTTTGATTGCAGTACAAATGAAGTAAATTAAGATATAAAGCATAATAAAGTCAAATCCAAAACAGAATTTGCATTTTTACATTTGCACTCCCATTCATTTGTACTAATACAAATAAATTTGCATTGCAACCAAATACAGCCAAATTAATGCCATTTGCTATTCTGTTTTTGCGTTTGATAAATTGCTATTTTTTTTTTCTTTTTATTGTTTTTTTTGGTAAATTGCTGATTTGGTAATTGCAATCACCTCCCCTTAACTTTCTGACATAGTTGCAAGTAGAGTCCCTCTGTAAAAATCTTGGGAAAATTCCCGATTAGTACCTTGTAGTTTGGGCCTTATGCCACTTTGGTTCCCAAACTTTAAAATGCGACAATTCAATGCCCGAATTTTCAAAACTTGCCAATCCTGTAACTGCTGTTAAACAACTGTTAACTAGCTGTTAAGTGGCATTTGAGAAGGCATAAATACTCTTTGAGTGTCATCTAATTTTTTTTATTAACCATCCAAATGTTGACAACAAATGAATAGTCCCAAACCCTTTTCTCTTCTGTCCAACAATTGTAAGAAACTTCAGGGGAGGCTTCAGTAATTTACTTTTATTTTATTTTTTGCTGTAGTGGACTGATGAATATTGCTTTTCTGGTCAATATTATTAATGTTGTTTTGGTTTACATACTTTTGTTTTTGTGTATAATCACTTAATAGCTGTATTAAGTGATTTTGTGGTCAACTGGTCTGTTTTCCTGAAGGAAAGAGTGGGGAGGGCGGGAAGGAGGTATTGAAGACTGTATAGGAATTTCTCAATGTGTTATAGTAACTCACAAGGCCCAAGAACACTGATATCATAGAAGGAGTTGA